CAGCAGAGGCATCTTCGTTTCCCCTTGGTCCTCCCGGCCCACACTCAGCTCTCCCATCGGTTCAGGTCCAAGGGAGAGTTGCTAGATCAGTGGGTGTAAGTTTAAGTCGCTTGTTCAGGTAGCCGTGGGGCAAATGTATGGATGGCTGGATGGTAGGCTAATTTGACCAGGCAGGAGGAAGTGTCACTGACAAGCCAAGTGGACACTAATTCAAATATCACACTGTGTGGCAATGTGGCGCACTACACAATCTCTGTGTCAGTTTCCTCAGTTGTTTAATGGGATCAGTTAGAGCTAACTACGTCTCCAGTTTATTTTAATGATTAAATGAGATATTTTCTGGCTAATATTTGGCCCTGGGTGAATGCTCACAAATGTTAGCAGTTACCGTATTACTAAGGATGATCCTGGTGCTATCATACCCAGGTACCACATTTGTGAAGCTTTGCACACATTCCACTCCATCAGCAGTCACAGGAATCCCACCAGAAGTGCTGCTTAGGGCACACAATTTCTTTACAGGGAGGACCAGACCTCTGGGAGCAGGTGCCACGAATGAGCAGCAGAGGCGAGCCTGGAATCCAGAGCTGATGCTGTCTGACGTCTGTACCTCGGATGTCAAGTGGCCACTCCCATGGGGGCTGGAGGTGCCGTGCTGGGCTCTGCTGGGCCCATAGACACATGGTGGGAGGGGCTGCTTGCACTGCTACCTCCTGCTGGGCATCTCCTGACACACTGTTGGCTCCTCAGGGGATGTCAGAAGACTCCTCGCATGATCTGTTTCTAGGTTTCTTTCCAAAGAAATGGAATGCCTAGAATATTGTCTGGGATGTGAGTGTTCATAGTGATTATTATTTAGATGATGACGATGATGATGCCGCCACAACTGTACCATGCAGAATGGGTAACAGAGATGGAAAAGACGCTACACTGAGGGCTGTGGGTTTATCTGGGGAGTTGTCTCAGTGTTGGGAGAGCAGTCAACTCTCGGCAGAAACAAGGACTATGTCACTGTCTCTTCACAGTGCTCAATGTCTAACAAAATCAAGGAGCTTGCTCTTGAAGACCCAGTGATGAGAGACCGACACCCAGGCATTGCCTCAAAGTGGAGGCATAGAAGGAGCAGAGGTTATGTTGCCCATTTTCTGGATGGGATGCTGGAGACAGAGCTGATGGCTTTCGGCTCCAAGAGTCACAGAAAGCCACAAGAAGACTGGAGTCCCTGGAGCCGTTTATGTCTTCTTGGGGGGAAACCAAGACTTGCATCTTCTGAGGTAAACTAAGGTACTACAGCCTGGGAGAGGCAGCCCCACAGAGCAACCATGATGGTGGGACAAGACGCAGAGAGAAATCCCAGGTCCTGGACAGTTACGAGGAGTCGGGACTCTGAGAGAGAAACTTCTCAGAAACATTGCTGCCCTCATCCACTGTCCTTACCCTACCCTACTCCAGGGCAAGTGAGGTCAGACTGAGAGAGATGCCTCGCTTCCTCTCCTAGAGCTCCTGGCACCATCCTGGCCCCTGCCAACTGACTTCATGAAAGATGTAGAATTAACCTTGTAAAGGTTCTAGTTCCCTGTAAAGGGATCTGGTGCCAGCTCAGAGTTGGCCTCTAACAGGATGCTGAGATACACATTTCCTTCCTGTCCAAGGCTTCTGGCTAATGTCTTTATGGCTTGAGCCATGTTAAGAATAATTATTCAATGGTTCTTGTTAAAGCACAGTTAGGACAGCTGTTCTTCCCAGGACAAGTATGATAAAAAGTGATCTAAGTGGACACTGGGAGCTCTGAAGACTTCCAGAATGCAAGCTCAGTATCTAAAGAGCTCCCTGGGTGGCAGGCAGGGGCGGGCAGGCAGGAGGCCTGATGATCGTCTCTGTGCTCTGGGGAATTCAGTGGTGGGGGATGTGGGTGCACAGATACTGCGCAAGGCCGTACTGTGGGGGGCTGGGCCACCCTCGTTGGGCTGCGCCTTTGAGGGGCAAAACAACATGTATGGCGTCAGGTGGTGAAAGGGGCTGAAATCCACCAGCTCCAGGGGTCAGCTGCATTATTGTAGGGTGTTGATTCATCTCCTTGAAGCTCAATTTCTCCATTTTATAATTGGTAAACCTGACTCCCTACTGTGCCCTCCGGACGATCTGGTAAGGGAACACAGTGTTCAGAGCCCGCACGCATAGTCACTGTGGTACATCACAACTATTCTCGTTATTTTTGAAATTTGACTTCCCCGCACATTAGCCTTCATGGCAGGCTGTGCTGGACCCCAGGTGACTCAGAGACAGGCACTAGCTAACCCAGACTGGGGTTGATTTTCAGTACCACGTGACCTGAAGGCCAGGGGTCAGGATACACTCATGCGAGCTCTGCAGCAGATCCCTAGGTTCTAAGGACTGGATGTTTTGAGGCTTTGCACCCCGTGGGTGCAACTATCTTAAGAGGTGGGTCTAGAAGGCAAAATGGCTTGACAGTGGCCATGGCTGGAAGGCTCCAGAGGTCAAAGGAAGGTAGAGAGAGAGGTGCTGATTGGGGGTCTGGTTCCAGATCTGTAACTGGGTTGCTGTGTGACCCTGGAGGTGTCATAGGCCACTCTGGGCCTACAGTCTAATTTATAAAGTGAGGGGAACCACAGGCCAATGATCTCCAAGGTCTCTATCAGCAATAACTTCCTGATTCCAGGTGCTTCCCAGAGATCGGAAAAGGAGTCTATTCTGGGCAGCTGGTCTTAGGCAGGGAATATTCTGGTTTGTTTGTTTGCTGTTCAAAGAGACTGACGGACTTTGTCATGGCAAGACTTGCCTTCTTCTACAGTCCTGAGTGCGTGGCCCACAACCCACGTGAACAGCTCTCAGGAGCTGCGGATTAAAGGAAGGCACAGAGTTCTAAGGCAGAATAAGAGGTGGTTCCTCAGTGGCGGTAACTGTCCCTCCAGCCCACTGAGGCAGAAGCAAAACGAGAATATGGTGGAAGGACGTGAATTAGACCAGTAGGACAAAAACGTACTCTTGGAGACCCACACTTTTTTTCTAGAATTTTCTACATAGCCGGTGTTGGCTTGAACAAGCACTCTTCCTGCCTCTGCGTCCTAGTACCGGGATCTTCCAGTTCTTTCTCCGGCTGAGACTTGGGTGTTCTCTGGCAGACCACCTCATTTTCACGGAAAGGAGGCTCTGTGGGAGAACTGAACTAATATTCTGAGGTTTCTCAGAGAGATGTGGAGGCACGCTCTCCGGCGCTGCCCTGTCACTCAAGAGTTGCCTCCGGGGCTGCCCCCTGTCATGGTGGTGTCACACTATGCTTTTAGGAATGTCATTAAGTTGGGAGAGGCTGGAAGGTTGTGGAGCCAAGGGCGAGTTCCCGGGACTGGCTGAGGCCAGCCTCACACTGCAGAGTCTGTCCTCTCCCATGGGTTTAGAAGAGCACTTTAAACAAGCCTGGGACAGGAGCTGCCCATGTTCATTCTGGAAGCCGCCGCCTGGTGACCTGAGGGCTGCCCTGTAGTGACGTGGGAGGGCAGAGCAGCGGTCCTCAGTGGTGCCCGCTGTGCATAGTAGGTCTTCTGCCTCATTTCCGGGGCGGGGGGGCGTGTTACACATTCTCCTCCAGACAGGGTCGTTTCGTCACAGTTGAGGGGCTGCTGAGGTTATTTCCTCTCTTCAGGCTGTGACCTTTACCAGAGTCGCATCACGTGGGATGCAATCCGGTGGCCTTCTCCCTGCATGTGTCTCTCTTGTTTGAAGTGCTCCTTGTTTTGCTTGTGAGTCCAAATCCACCTTCTGGGGAAAGCAGCCCAAGAAGCCAGCTGGCCACACCCAGGGGATGCCATGGGTTGGAGAAGGCGGGTTCCAGGGGACATTTGCAACAAAATATCTTGCCCCTGTGGGATCCCCCAGGGCTTTGTCATTCCTTTCGGGTTAGTGCAGCCCTCTCCCCTGTCTTTTCAGAAACACAGCCTCCATGGGAAGGCATCAGAAACGTTAAGTACAATGCTGGGCATTAGCAAATTGAGAATCACAGTCTGGACTTGAGGTACTTCTAGAAATTTCCAGAGACTTCTAGGAGCCTGAAGTGTTGAAGCTGTAAGCAGCTCCCGGAACCTTCTAAACCAGGGACGTTAAACATACGCCCACATGTACCGGCGTTCACCCCCACTTCCCCAGCAGACATACACTAATTGAATATTTATATTCTCCCCCGTGGGATCTGGGTTCTGCCTCTGAATCCTTTGCATAGCCAATCGATCGGAGTGCGCTCGGCTGTTTCTATTCTGGTTCTTTCACTGCGTGCGAACAAAATTGACTGCGACACTGAGATGAAGAAAGTCAGGTCAGAAAAGCTGCTACACAGTCATGAAACATGCGTGGGGAAGGAAGAGGACCAGGGTCTGCTCACACGGCTTAGTGTCTTTTCTTGCATACATCATGTGTGTGCAAGTGTGCATGTATGTTCAGATCCCTGTGGGTGAGTGCATGTACATATGTGTGCGCTTGTATATAGCTGCAAGAGGTTGAAGTCAGAAGACTTGTATAATGAGGCACAGTCTCTCACTCGAACCCCGAGCTCATCAGGTCGGCTCACCTAGCCAGCTCACCGTGGAGATCCTGTCTCTGCCTCCCACATACTGAGGTCACAGGTGGGCAGATAAACCCGCTCAGCCTTTCTGTGGGGGCTGGGGATCTGAAGCTATGCTCACACTCTCATGACAAGGGTTTTACCCCCTGAGCCCTTCCCTCAGCTCATCCCTACATATTCCAAATTCTTTTTCTAAATGGAGACATCAGTGGCTTTCCTTCTTAGCATAAGCCCTAGGCAGAAAACAGCCTTCGTACTACCAGGGACAGACACACATTATTGTTCTTTTTGTTTGTTTTTTCCCAAGCTTGACTTAAGTTCCATATGTTTGTCACAAATAACGCAGGAGTCTTTCCAAGCTACAGGGATGGTCTCCCTTTCAGATTCAGTTCCCAGGAGTGAGGTGGGAGACCATCGCCAGCCTTACCTGCTGCAGGGCTCTCTGGATATCGATCCCCTGGCCCCAAGGCACAGCAGGGTTAGCCAGACAGTCCCCAGCGTTCCCTCGGCGGGATATGTCAATCCTCTGCCTCCGCAGGCTCTGGAAGGCCTCGGCCATCACCTTCACACCATCATACGTGAGAGCAGAGGTGTACTGGGGAAGGAAGGCAGACAGACAGGTATCAGAGACAGCGAGGTGGGGTGGGGGCTGTGTTGGGCAACTAGCTTCCTGATGAGCAAAGTGTGTGGTGGTGGGCCAGCTGCCAGGGGCCTGCAGAGACTGGTTCACAAAGGATGGAGCACCTGCCTCTTACATTCTGCTCTCTGCTCCAGCCAGTGGGGCACTCCAGGGCTGTGAGCTCAGTGTGGCCCATTGCGATTTTCAAAGACAAGCCAGCATTCGGGAGAGCTGTGTGCAATCTTGTCATTTGAAAATTGTTGCTTTAATTGGTAAGAAATGCATAGATTAACTACAACAGGCAAAACCACGAAAAGTCAGGTTGTTTCCTCTGTATGAGAGTCACCAATTGGAGGCAAGAATTGTTCTATTCCACCCTCTCTCGTAACAATAAAGAGAAAATATAGTCCAAGAGGAGCAAGCTCTAATTGTTCACATTCTGCAACTCTCCCTCTTGCTTATTAATGCTAACTTTGAAACTTTTCCCACTTGACCAGGACGGGGCTTAGATGTAGATGAGACTTGGAAACCTATCTGTCTTCTTTACTAGACTGATCCTGCTACTCAACATGTCGTCTGGCACAGTGTGGTCACACTAGAGCTGTAGGAATGTGTATTTTTCCATTTTTTAAAAAACATTATCTTTATGTGTATGAGTATATTGACTGCATGTATGCAAGTGCATCCATGTTGTGCAATGCCTGCACAGGACAGAAGAGGGTGTCAGATCCCTTGGAATTGGAGTTACAGATGGTTGGGTATTGGGAACCAAACTGGGGTCCTCTGCAAGAGCAGCTGGTGCTCTTAACTGCTGACCCATCTCTCCAGCCCCATTTGTCCAATTTTTAATGTTGATTTCCTGAGGTCTGGAGAGATGGCTCAGCAGTTAAGAGCACCGGCTGCTCTTACAGAGGACCCCGGTTTGGTTCTCAGCACCCACATGGCAGCCAACAGCCATCCATAACTCCATTTCCAGGGGATCCAACACCCTCTTCTGACCTCTGTAAGCACAGCATAACATGGGTACATTTACTTACATGCAAGCAATATATGCATACACACAAAATCAGTATATTTAATATTTCCTAATTTGTTATCTGTGTGGCCCTGTGTGCATGTGTGTACATGTGTGTGCATGCATGCTCATGTGTGTGTGTGTGGAGGCCAGATGTTATCGTTGTTTGCCTTCTATCTTGCTTTTGAGGCAGAGCCTCTTTCTGTACCTGAGGCTCACCAGTGTGGAAGAGGGTTTGGCCTGCAAATCCCGGGACTCTTCCCGCTCCTGCCTGCCCGGTGCTGCTACCCCAGCTGTGGTGGGGTCGAAAATCAGGCCTGCATCTCACACAGCAAGCACTTTAATGACTGATACAACTTCTCAGTCTCCTCTCATTTATGTTTATGAAACAGGGTCTCATGTAGCCGAGGCTGGCCTTGAACCCTGAGTGTAGCCCAGGCTGACATTGAACTCCTGATCCTCCCTGCCTCTACCCACCAAGTCCTGTGATTACAAGAGTGCATCATCATACCTGCTTGATTTTTTTTTCTGGAAAAATTATATTGCAGTTGGAAGTGGGAGTGAGTACATTCACTCACTCATCCCTGTGGAATCACCGTTGCTTTAAAGCACTTGGGGTTTTGATCATTGAAGCACATGTTACAATAGCTCTTCATCCTTGAAGAGTTAAGTCATTTTGATCAGTGGTGGGATGAGCAACATCTCAGCTTCATGGCCTGCCGTTTACAAATGAAATTGACTGAGCATCGTGCAGGCACCTGCCAAAGATTTGCTGGTTGTCCCAGGTAACAGACTTGGCCTCAAATCCTTCTCAACACAGCATTCCACACAGCCACCGCCAAGCTGTGGGATCGGACACGGGAAGAAAAATGACTTGCTATACTTATGTTTAAGCATTCTCAGCAAACAAATAGGTTCTGGCTGCAGGACCAGGAGCTGCATTTCTGGGAAGCAGGAAGCAGGTATGATGCGTGATCGATAGCGGACTCCAGGCAGTGAGCTGCTGCTGATCCACAGGTATGAGTCTCTGTGATGCTCAGCCGGCCACACAGAGGTTGGGAATGAGCATTACCTCACTGCTCTGCTCACAGAGGCTCCAGCCACAGAGATGAGCATCTTCCTCTGCTGGGCAGAATGGTGACTCTAGGGCTGAGGCCATAGCTCAGTGGTAGAGTGCTTGTTTAGCCTGCATGAGGACTTAGGTTCAATCCAGTACATCTAGAAATAAAGATGGTGGTCCTGCCTAGACTATAAACAGCATTCCCCAGTCTCCCCTGCAACCAACTGAAGGCAGTTTTCTAACATGGGGTGGTTGAGTGGAAGATCTACTAGTGACTCCTGAAAAGACTTGTGTGTGTACATGTTTGTGTGTGTGTGTGTGTGTGTGTGTGTAGGTCAGAGATTGGGTGTGTGTTTGGGTTTGGGTTGGCCTCAAATTCAAGATCTTCCTACCTTAGCCTCTTATGTACTATAATTACAGCCACATACCTCTGTACCCAACAACTTTAACCATTAAAGTTAATGTCTCATTCATACTACCCGTTCACTGGAGATTGGTTGGGAAAGGGTTGGGAATGTATTGGCTCTGATCAGTATTTATGGGACTCTGTGTGGGATGCAGGCTGATGGAACATCCCCATCTCTAGTATTGCTGCCTTCATATATAAAACATTTTATTTTTCTTTTATATGTGTGAATGTATTGCCTGTATGTATGTAAATGTACCCACATGGTGTAATGCCTGTGGAGGTCAGAAGATGGTGTTAAATCCCCTGGAACAGGATGGCTGTTAGCTGCCATGTGGGTGCTGGGAACCAAACACGCGTCCTCTGCAAGAACAGCCAGTGCTCTAAACCACTGAGTCATCTCACAGAGATCTGCTTGCCTCTGCCTTCTGAGCACTGGGATTAAAGGCATGGGCCACCATGCCCAGAGTCTTTCCTTAAAATTTTAAATTTATTTATTTTTATTTTATATGTAAGAATGTTTTGCCTGCATGCATTTAAGTGTACCTACGCATGCAATGCCCATGGAGGCCAGCCCCACCTTATTTTTTAAATTCATTTTTGAGATGGGGTCTCTCACTGAACCTGGCGCTCACCAATTCCATGAGACTGGCCATCCAGCAGGCGCCAGGGAGCTCCTGTCTTTGCATTCCAGCGCTGGTGTTACAGGTGTGTATTTCTGCACCTGGCTTTTGCATGGATGTTGGGAATCCCAACCCAGGCACAGCAAGCACTTTACTGAGCTGTTTCCCAGCACCATGAAAGGAGTTCCTAAGAACAGAAGCTGAGCTTTCTGCTCACCTTCCTTCTGTGCTATGAAGACGTGTCCTTCCGTGCCCCCCGGCCTATGACACAAGCCCAGACATTGAAGGCTAGATTACCAGAGATGGAGCGCTGGAGAAGGCACTGCATCATGAGGGCTCTGACATAATCAGGACTAACCCACTGACGAATTCAAAACGTGACAGTGTTATTGGAAGGTGGTGGGAACCAGGGGCATTGTTGGGAGAAGTGGGTCACGAAGAGTGTGCGTTTTAAGGGTATGCCCCACCCTGTGCCTCTGCTTACGGTTACCCTGAGGTGAGCAGTTTCCCTTCACGTCTTTCTGCCTTCTTGTTTCTACCTTGCCACAGTCCTCAAAGCAGTGGGGCCAGCGACCACAGCTCAGACCTCTAAAACTTGAGCCCAAACCAGTCTTCCCTCCTTTAAGTTGTTTTACTAGCACATGCTCGGTAGAGTTCTGACATCAGGCTGGAGTGGACGCAGCCATTTTGGACCCCGAGGCAGGTGCTGAGGGCAGAATTACAAGAATTTGAATATGTGGGGACTGTGGAGCTCTGATCCCAGCCCTGGACTATAATCTGTCATGTTGGGGCTCCTGACCCTGGTGCCTACGTTTACCTTTGCTTATTAATTTTAGAAAACATTTCTTTCTGAAGGTTAGGGCTGGCTAAGGAGGCAGGCTGGTCCCTCCCCACACCTTAGGCCTCTTCCAGTCCACCCGGGTGTGGTCCCGAGCATCACTGGACTTCCACTGCTGCATGATCCGGGCCGGGACGGTGTCCGTGTAGTTCACCAACTGGAAACCTGTCACATTGGCTCCGCTCTCCTTGAACTTATTTAAGTCGATGTCCATGAAGCCCTGCAGGAGAAGCAGAGGGGGAGTCAAAACACGTCGCCCGGGCAGGTCAATGTCAGCATGGTGCAGGATCTGGGGCTTTCTCTCCTGCTTCTCGAGGAGGTGGAACTGACTTAACGGAGACAGCTGACTTTGCTCCTTCCGAACTCTGTTCTCATGGATTTTTTGCACAGAGTTGGCAGAGAAGCCAGAGCCTGGTGGATGCAACATGCCTGGGTGCAGGGCTGGTTTACAGCCAGGAGTTATATTACCTTGGACTAAGTCACTCTGTCACCTCGTTTAAGTAACAGGGGCCTGGAACTTGGGGAGAAGACGCAGGTGTGGCATGTCAAGTGGCTGGACCAGACTGAGAAACAACACATGGTTGGGACTTTTAGACTATTTATCGTGATTGTGTGTGCATGTGTGTATGTGATGCGTGCTCTCGGCCATGTGTACCACAGCACTCTATGGAGGCGAGAGGACAACTTTGTGGAGTCTGTTTTTTCCATCCACCTTTACGTGGGCTCTGGGGATTGAACTCAGATTGCTAAATGTGTATGGCAAGAGCCTTTACCTGCTGAGTCATCTTGCTGGCCCATGGCTGGGATTCTTACGATGACAAGATATAAAAAGTGAAGTGGAAAACCCTGGAGGAGGGATTGGCCTCACCACCCTGCTGTGCTCCTTTGAGAGAGGAGACGTCTGAAGTCTGCCAGGAACAAGTGGCTGTATGCTTCCCGAGGTCACCAGCACGTCTGTGGGAAAGGCTAGCTTCTGATGTGGGCCTTCCCCCTCACCCCGCTCTTTCATGTACAACGAACTGGATCTGTTCTCTCTGAGGAGGCCAGATGTCCTCTGACATCCGTGAAAGATTCTTTACTGAGAATGAATTTCCTTCTAATTCAGCAAAATTCACTCAAAGTCCCGAAGCCTTGAACTTGAAAGGAAGCCTTGTATTTATGTAATAAATTCAATAATATACAGAACTTTTACATCTATGGCCTCATTTCACTTCTTTCCTATATAAGGTACAACCTGTGCATCTATTTGCCAGATACAAAAACCATGGGAGATACCATGGGAGGGTCGATGTCCACGGAGTTGTTCATTGAGTTAGTGACAGAAGGGACCGGAGCAAAGCTCTTCTGTTAAGCAGTTCCTTCCCTTCCTCATCCACAAACTCATCACTGAACACACACTTCTGAGTGCTTAGAGCACAGCATCCTATGAGCCAGACTAAAACAAGCCCTTTCCTTCATGGATCTTACATTCTCGTAGGGAAGACAAGCACACCACACATGATGTGGTGCAGTCCAGTGCCTGTGCTCTGTGGCAGCCGAGGGTCTGTGGAGAGAGGTGAAGTGGGGTACACAAATGGATAGATGGGGTGCTGGAAGATGGATGAGGTCCAGATGAACCCACCCGAGGAGGGTCTTGTCTTGTTGGTACAGCAGAGTGGAACCCTGTGCAAGGGTTACGGGGCTATCTGTGGGAAAGAGCACACTGAGTGAAGGCCCGAAGGTTGGATGGAGGCTGCTTGGAATAGAGGCTGGTGCGATTACAGGATGGTGCTGAGGACAGCAGGTGGGAGATGAGGTCAGATGTAGTCCAAGCTGAGTCACACGCAGCGTATGTTAACGTGGGCTTAGTAATTATAACTATGGGTGTACTGTAGACTACTGAGCAGGGACAGTAAAGTTGAGGCCCGCTTGGGTCCATGGCTTGGGGCAAGTGTCAGAGCTGCATAAGAGAAATGGGAGGAGGAACATGGGCAGTGGTGGCGGCAGGGAAGCCCGTGGCCGGCAGCCGAGGCCCAAGCACTGGCTCTGGCTCTACATGGGCTCTCAGGGCTTGTCCATACTCCTAATTCCTGGCCGACTTCTGTTCTCTCAACTCAAAGAACGGACTTCGTGATTCCAAGACCTCTATTGTCCACCAGTGTTTCTAAAGTTCTGTGACCCTTTAGAGGTTCTATGTCTATAGACAAACCCAGTCCGGTGCCACTCAGCTTTTGTCCTTGCTCTCTGCCTGGAGGGTCATTTCTGCACTCGGCTCCTTTTGGTCATTTAGATCCCAGCTAGAAAATCACCTCTTCAGAGAGCTGACTCCTATCCCCTTGTCTGGAGAGCCAATTCCTGCCCTGTAGTAGACATGTAGCCCCTGTTCATTCCCCTTGACACACTGCTATTCTACTTTGTGCACTAACTGCAAACACCCGATACCCCACCAGTGTGCAGGGTAAGTCAGGCACTGTGAGTTCATGCTCCCAGGGGGCAGCTCGCTAGCCATGACACCTGCAGAGTTAATAGATTTGGGCCCAGAATCCTCTGTCTGGTGCATGAGCTGGAGCCATGTTCTATGTTGATGGGATGAGGGACGGGAGCTGGAGTCATGTTCTATGTTGATGGGATGAGGGACGGGAGCCGGAGTCATGTTCTATGTTGATGGGATGAAGGACGGGAGCTGGAGTCATGTTCTATGTTGATGGGATGAGGGACGGGAGCTGGAGTCATGTTCTATGTTGATGGGATGAGGGACGGGAGCTGGAGTCATGTTCTATGTTGATGGGATGAGGGACGGGAGCTGGAGGTATGTTCTATGTTGATGGTAAGGGACGGGAGCTGGAAGTATGTTCTATGTGGATGGAGAGGGATGGGAGTGTCTCTTGAAACTGTCTTCCTTCCCTGCCACGCTTCCCTACTGTTTCCAGGACTCGAGCCATTTGCATCAGAACCCTGCTTCCAGATCTGCTTCTGGGAGGACTGGTCCAGCCCATTCTGACTCCATGCCTCTCTAGAGCACCTGTCACCATGGAGATCACTCTCTACACTGGGTTTTCCTTTTATCCTCTCTCCTCCCATTGACGAGCCAGCTACTGAACGTGGGGATAGTTTCATTTTCTGTCTTGTTCACATATGTGTCCTTGTATCTAGTGCCCAGAAGCATGTGTGGCACGGGGTAGATGCTCAGTCCTTACTTGCTGAGTGAATGCATAAAAGCCAGAGGCTTTCTTTCAAGCAAGAGTGCCCAACAGCCAGGGGAAGTATGACCAGCAGGAGGCGGATGCCAGGGAGTGATATTCATCATTTGAGATTAACTTGTCCTGTGGCCGCAGTCCAGAGTGACACAGAGGTAACAGGCTTGCATGATGTACCCACCGTTAGTAAAGGTGAAGTCAGAATTCAGCTCTCCTACCCAGCCTTCCCTAGAAGGCATTATACTTTGTAGGAGTGCAGCTGTTCCAGTGCTGGTTAAAAGCCAGTACACAGTTGGGCGATTTTCCATACTCTTTAGAGACTTTTAAAAAGAACATCTTGTTCATGAAATAACTATTGAGAGAATGAAATGGAAATTATCTCCCGCAGTCAGATTCTGTCACTTGCAAATCTGTAACAAGCTCCTGGGCACGTTACTGACTTTCCCTCTCATAATGGAGGCCAAAGGAAATGGCAGTTTTCTCAAAGAGAAACGCAGCTTGGCTCTATTGCCAGCCAGCCTGGTGACAGGATTAGTGGAGCCAGTCCTGGGTCACACACAATCAAGCTGATGGACCCTGCCTACTCCTGCCCATAATTCAGAAGGGGTGGAATGATGGGACAGGCTCCATCTGTGACATTCATCAGGAGAACCAAAATCAAGAAGTCACCAGGGTCAGCCTATGTTGATCTAAGAGCTGACCGTTCCCCTGCAATGTAAGATTACATGCTGGGAATGATAACATTGAACCCATGACATCCGCAATCACAAGGAAACAAGACTCTTGGGGTTACTAGACTTGATTTCTCTGTAGTGCAGGAACCTGGACTTGGTCAACAGAAAAACTCATTCTTGATTAAAAAAGAGAATAAAGGCATTAACCCTTCATGTTCCAGAAAGCTGTAAAATTCAACTAACCTCTTCAGCACAGGTTTAATTACATCATCTTCTAATTTCCTTTTTATATTTTATTTAAAAACCTGCTCTCCTCTGAGCCCTGGCACCAGAGTACACTTTATAGAGTGACTGTTCTCTATCTGAACTAGCACATACTTATAATCCCAGCACTTGGAAGGTAGAGACAGGATGATCAGGAATTGGAGGTCAGCCTTGACTACATACAGAGTTCCAGGCCAGCCTGGGCTATGTGAGACTTTTGTCTCAGACAATAACCACAATGGAGTTTGGGTAGAGCACAGTCCTGGGGCTGTAGGTTGTGGTGCAGAGTCTGTATGCTTCTTAATGTGGGGCTGAGGAATGGATGGTGTGCAAAGGGTGCTCTGCCTCCCATCTTCATCCACAGACAAAGACATCGGCTGAAGAAGTGAAAGATGAATCTCCTTACTCTGAGGGACCAGGGACTGTGTGGGGAGGGGACAGTGCTTGTAGCACAGCCCGGAAGAGGAAGCGGGATATTCTTATTTCGACAAAACACTAATGCTTGTGATAAAAAAGTCAAGTCACTCTATTAAAATTATGAAGGTAATCATCAGAAGAATTAGACATAATACCATAACCCCAGTCATTAAGGAGCGGCTGTGTTTGTGATCTGAAGCGGTTCATCACCTATTTAATGGGAGTCGCAGATGGGACTGAGTTGATGAGGCAAGAAAGAGAGACGCAGGCATGTCACGTAGAAGTGTGGAGGAAACCGTCAGGGAAGCCTGAAATATGACTTCTAAGGGGTCTGAGGTTGGCATGGACCCCAGGACCAAGGGGGTGGGGGAAGCCTGAAATATGACTTCTAAGGAGTCTGAGGTTGGCATGGACCCCAGGATCAAGGGGGTGGGGGGAGCATGAAATATGACTTCTAAGGGGTCTGAGGTTGGCATGGACCCCAGGACCAAGGGGGTGGGGGGAGCATGAGCTCAGAAAGTGCAGGTGTTTGCTTTATTTTTAGGCTCTTCTGTCGTATAGATTTACCATGCGACACTGCCTTTTAAATGCCATTAGAAAAACCACATCGAACTGCAGACAGCATCCATGTTGTCTCTGGTTAGAGGGGAATGGCAGGACGGTGGGGAGAGGGTGGCACCGAGGGGCTC